ATTAAAGGCAATGAGATTCCTGACACACTTGCTAAGAAGGGGACGACGATTTTGCAATGCATGGACCGGCCCATGTCTTTTCACACAATATAGGCCTTAATCAGGAGAGAATTCCAGACCTCAAGGTTCAACGAACTCAAAGCTCGAACAAAGGAGAAACAGTGGACAGTGGCACTCTCCGACATACCCGACTGGCCAAGAATCGAAGCCGTTGCTGAGTTTAGACTACGTACCAGACACGATTGCTTGGCAAAACACCTTCACAGATTGGGAGTATACATTCAACCCACATGCCCTCTATGTAACCTACATGAGGAAATGGAGAAGACCCACCTGATTCGGTGTCCAGCCCTAAAGACAACGACGAAAAGCCAGAGATACTGGGAAGCAAGAAGACTGCTAATGAACTGCTATTAATTAACTGCTATAAATGTACCCCCCCCCCTCTTGAGGGAAGCTGAAGTCAAAGATTAAGGGCTAATGATAAATATCATAAAGCCTGCCATTTGAAATAAATAAACAAGTAAATATTTCAATGAAGACAACGTTCAAAATTGTTTTGAATTGCATAAATTACTTATATCAAATTGCAGAATCCATGGCATTTATCATTAGGCAAATAAAGACATCAGCGTGGGCTCAGCCGGGATTTGAACCCGGGACCTCTCGCACCCAAAGCGAGAATCATACCCCTAGACCACTGAGCCGTGTTTTTCCGTTTGCAGGAAATTCAAAAACTCAAGTTTGAATACTGAGAGAGGTGTAAAATTAAATTTCCGAAACTGTAAGGCAAATCTTACATAATTCAATAGTGAGAACAGAAGGCAGATCCAAAACCTGTCATAGGTTTACACGTTGCAGAAGACGAAATTAGTACTGGACGCTGTTTAAAGTGGAGTTGAGTAAACAGACAACACAGAACGGAATAAAAGGTTAGGTTATTCGTCCAGAGCTAATTAAGCACCAACTTCGTTCGGCATTTCTACTTCCTTATCTTCTTCCTCATGGGATGATTAATTGACTTGTTTCCAAGTGGTCTACTCTGAAAAACGTAAACTCATACGGCTAAAAGTTTGTAACTCGGCAGTTGACTTTAAAACCATCATGATCATCCGGAAATAAAACTTCAAAAGGCGAAATCGTCCCTCTCGGGTTGATTCACATTTCTACAGATCCTTTCGTGGAATGCTGGAGGGATTTCACACGACAACAGCAACCAGATTCTAAAAATCCTGCATACCTATGATGTTGACATATTCATAATCAAGAAAGCCAATTTTACGGATGACAAGAACAAATATTCCCAATTGCCAGTTAACACCTCATATCTCCTGTCTTAAGAGGGCATGTAACAAGTAGAATATTGATTAAAGTAAAAGAAAGACCCTCACATACTCAACTACCCACCAATTTATCTTCACTTCGTATGGCCACTGTCCTGACGCCTTTTGTAGTGTGGATGTGCGACACTGGCCACAAGCAGGCTACCGGGTTTCGTACAAAAACTGAAGGGAATAAGAGATTGGACCATATCCATCCAAGAAAAATGTGTGCCTGAAATGAATTTCATTAATATTATATATTTAGTGAATATTTACTGAAATATTTGTAAGTAAGCACAAATATACTTCCTGGTAATTTTTTAAATACTCTCATCAACTGGTGATATCAGAAATTGTGGCTACCATTGCAGTGAAATAGACACTTATTTGAGACCCTCGGTCAAATATGCTACCATACGTCTTAATTGAGAAATGTAAGCTGTCAAATGTGAACAAGCGGGGCGGGTTACCTAGAAGCTGAAGACACGCCTAGAGTTAAATCATGCAAGAAGTAATTGGTTGCGCAAACTAAGTATTTCAAATGCCTTACAATGGACTAAAGATCGGTTTCTCGAAAGTGCTAATCGTTCAAACAGAACTGAAAACTCATTATCCCTTCTTACAAGTCATTAACAAGTGAATGAAAGTAAGCGAATGGTTATAGAAGGTCATTGTGGTCATGTGCACTTCACGTACTTCGGAATGTTATTCGACTTCTATCGTAGATGCGACCGGATGCCTTTATCGAGATCAAATATTACATGTAACATTTGATGGCTAACAATAAAACATAGGATTTGAGAAGTAAAATTCAAAAAATAACTTTGAGAATTGCAATTTGCAAAACCATTTTTCAAAAGTAGGAATATACGCTCATCCACCCATGTCTTCAAGATGATCTAGATCGGGCAGTCAAGAAGACCCACCTGATTCGGCATCCAGCCATAAAGACAATGACAGAAACCCAGAGATACTGGGAAGTCAAAAGTCAACTAATATTAGCTCACCTAGAGCCTCTTTTTTGTGAAGGCAGAAACCTACTTATGTGATAATGATAAATATCATAAAGCTAGTCATTTGAAATGATATTATCTCTAAACAATATGCATTTGATCTTCAAAATTGAGTGTCTATAGGTTCTAATACGAAGGCGTTGACAGTAGCTATTTCCATGCACATGCAATCTACCTCGTGTATCTAATTTTTTAACGTCTATATTTCAAGATGAAACTTGTAGACATTTTCGATCTTCACTTACTCTCCTTTCTCGAATTCTTATAGCATTTTAAACTTTCCCACATTTTTGGTGAAGTATTGATTTCCTTCTTTCCATTAATTGAAAGACCCTTGGAGAAAACAATTCATTTCAGTTAATTGAAATTCTCTCTTTTAGCCTATTCGCGTCAAATCCGATCACACGAATTGCGAAATTTCCCAAAAACCAAACGTGACAATAGGTAAATGGCAGAACAACGAGTGTGACCAAATATCCCGACCGGTGAGGAGTTGAATGTTGGTGCTAACCACATAAGTGCACTGCAACAAGTCTTTGGCCAACTCCTCCCTTGACTCGACTTTAGCCACAACAACATGCGGATGCTTGCCCTCCAGCTACTCAAATCCAAAGAACATCAGCAGCATGTCCTCCAACGAGTAGAAATTTCCAGCCATTTTATGATATTTTGCTCGAGACAGATAGTAATAGACTGCATTGATGAGAAGGGAAAGATGCACACGAAGATTCTCCGTTATGTTAGCAGGGTAAATAGCGGTAATGACAAGATCGATGGATTTGAGAGTGGTCGAAGTGAACCATTAGTGACTCGATGCCTATAATACACGAATTATTCTTCACTCATTCTGAATTTTCATCATAAATTGCCACTTGCCATGGAAGCGGCTCTACTAAAGCCAATGGAGTTGTCTTGTGCCAACTGTCATTAACAGAGCCATCAAGGAAGCCAACACGTTGGTCGATGTTGAAGCAAGAGAGTGACTAAAATTGAAAGATGAGACAGCAGTAGAAGTAGTAGTAGACTTGAAGGAGTGAGGAAAAGTGTGTGTGCATACTTGCATCTATGTGTGCGTATTTGTGATTGGGTGGACGAGAGGTACGCTATGAATGATGGATTAACTCACTTATCTTAATTTTGTTTCTCGTACTTGATCTGAAAGCCACTTGGGCAGACAAAGCCTCCACAAAATAGGCACAGATATCCCCTGAATTGTCTGGAAATTAAACACATAGATCTTCCCTGATAAGGAGGATTCATTGAATGCAAACTTGTCACCTTGAGCTATAGAAGTGCCACCGAAGCAGGCAATCCAAATTAAAATAAGGCAAAATGTGCACATTGGTATGGCTACAATACATTAGTAGTAGATTGCTGCTTAAATTAGACTTGCGTTATCCGCAGTTATTTTGATGTCGAAGTAAGACGGTAAGTTAAGGCTACCAGAATTAATTGACCAAACTCAAGTATAGACTTTTAGTGAGTAAAGCGTTGATTAAAATTATGATTGCAGCTAATACGAACCACAAATGAAATATAGTTAAGGTAATTTGAATGAACATTAATATGTGATTAGCTTAAAAGACCACTGCTCACACTACCTCAGTTTATTCGAGTTAGAATTGCGTACTGTACTGTGTTGTTTGGGACAAAACGAAACCGATCAAGTGCATTTGATTCTGAGGCTATTTCGATTTTGAAGACGTTCACTTTAAATCTATTGAAACGTTGTACAAAACGGTAAATCTACAGGTAGGATAGTGGGAACCAAAGAAATAATCTACTCACTTTTGTAAGTTCTGCTTCTGGGCCGTGACACATCAACATATTGTTAAAAAGTGTCCGACTCTTCGTTCTCCCCCAACTATGATCTCTGCTCATCTCTTCCCTAACCACCACTGAAGCAGTTCATGCAGTTGATTCAATTTGGACTTCATCGCACGCATTAGTGTCATCCGGTCACTGCTCAACTTTATTCGCCTTATTTTGGGTTTCACAATTCTTCAGATTTCAAGAGGATGAGAAGTTTGCTTTGAATGCTGGGCCAAATCACTCTCCTTTATTTGTATCTCATACTTGGTTAAAAATATCACTTGGATAGACCCTGCCTCCACAAAATAGCCACAGACATCGCTTGAGGTGTCTGAGAAGAGAGCTCTTCTTTAAACTCCCTTATCAAGCAGTTCAAATTGATTTCATTGATCTTTAACTTGTCGCCCGGGAATTACCAATGTGCGCTATAGAAACTCCTCCCCTGAAAACATTTATGAATGGTGAATATGTTATGCCATATGATAGAGCTGACTAAAAATACGACTTGAACTTTTGAAAAACCCTCCTCCCCTCCCCACACTTCGCCCCTGTTAAACTTTCTCAAAAAATCGTGTCAACGGGATAGTGAAACCTAAATCACCTGATATGATCTCAAAAGTATCTTGACCCAATTGCTTTGGCCTAATTATAAATGAAAGCAATTTTATCGCCCAAGTCAAATCACCGGAAACAAATCGTAAGAACTAGACAGTGGAGAAAATCATCTGACTTGACCTCAAATGTCGATGGACCTAATCACCACAAACACACGCAATTAAAGAATGTACACAGAAACATAAGCTCAAGTTTCGTTTGTGTGGACATTCGGTGGAGGTGAATGAGTTCTAGGTAGTTAAACATTTCCATTCGAGCCTTTTGCTGCGCTCTCCAAGGGGAAGTCTCGTTGTGTTGGCCTTGGCGGTGCATAATTAAAGCACTTGGCAGGGTTTGGCAGAATTTGAGCTGGTGAAGGAGGACGCGGAAGTGGGGGTGGCAAACGCGGAAGATGGATGGGAGAAGGTGAATTAGGTAGTGGAGTATAAGAACTTGGCACTCGCACCGATCTTCTGCAACCAGGCTTCCGCTTGGCAGCATCTCGCACGCTGAGAGCAGTCATTTCTTAGGAAGCGTAGCGCAAGAAGAAGTCAGTG